GTGTCGTGTCACCCGCAAGGCTCGACGGCCGGCGTGGTGTACCGCGCGGGCGACCGGAACCGCTGGTACCTCGCGGTGGCCGCTACCTACGTGCTGCCGGAGCCGGACACTGCGAGCCGCTGCAACCCCGCGGCATCCGACCGCGACACGGCCATCGCGATCAAGGACACGGAGGGCCGCAGCCTGGCCACGGAGGAGCTGGGCCGACTCAAGCTGCGCGAGGGCATGGGCAGCCTGCACTTCGTGGATGCCTTTCTCTGGAACGGCAGCGTCTACTCCCCCTACTACCCCTACAACTACACGAGCGCCGCCGCCACCGGCTGGCCCAGCATGGCGCGCATCGCGCAGAGCGCGGTGGTGCAGTTCCAAGGCCAGGCTGCCCTCGACTGCGGCCAAGGCCACCCCGACGGCCGCCGTCTGCTCCTCTCCTCCAGCCTAGTGGAGGCCCTGGATGTCTGGGCGGGTGTGTTCAGCGCGGCCACCGGAAAGGGCCAGGAGAGGCGCTCCCCCGCCACCACTGCGCTTTGCCTCTTCAGGATGAGCGAGATCCAGGCGCGCGCCAAGAGCTGCAGCTGGGACTTCGAGGCGACCGAGCTCAACTGCGTAAGTCCTACCCCCTAGGTGCCGCGGGGAGCGCCACAACTTGCGAGCCGACGCTGCCGCCCCCGAGGCAGAGCGGGAGGGAGACCTAGTTGACATTTTCCAGGTCTCGAGTTCACACCGCTGGCGGCTGTCAGACTGACGGTCTCCAAGACCGCCAGGTTACTCCAAAGCACAGCCCGAAGTCCCCCAAAAGGCGAATGTAAAAAGGGGGGCGGGGAGAGTTGGAGTGAAGCTCGAAACTCTCGTGGCTGCTTCCCATGCCATCCTTCTCTGTCCAACTGTGGACGCTTGTTTGGGGCTCAGCCTCCCCAAGCAGCTCGTATTTCCCTAATCGCTTCCCCAGACTCATCTCTGCCCCTTCGCTGTGTCTCAGCAGGCGTGCAGGTTTGACCGTCATGATCAACAGTTTCTAAACACAGTGCCCTCGGCAGAGAAGCCATTGAACCTAAAGGGCTCAGTGCCACACCCCACTCAGCCTTTGTGCCCCCCTGCTCCCGCCTCCCGTCGTCAACACATGAGATGTGGTCTAAAGAGTTAGTAGCCTGCTGGACAGGGGTGCAAGCTAGCCTGCGAGAGAGGCGCACGCTTGGCGGAACAGAACCCCCAGCGTGACCCAGTGTTAGGGGGCGGGGCTGTGACTCTGCTGAGGGTGTGCTGTGGGCTCCAGCTGGGGGAGAGACTGGGGAAGCGGGAGGTGGCTTTGTGGGTAAAAACCTTACCCCGAGGGTAGACCTAGGGAAAGTGTTGGAGTGGTACTTTCTGGGTTCCGGGCTGCTGGACTGGACCGCGGGGCTCAGAGGCACCACCCTTGAAGCAGGCAACCGACGCTGGTTTCCTCTAGGCTCCCAGGGCAGCCGCAGCTTGAATCTTGAGATTGACATTTCTTTCACTGGGAAATAAAGCGGCAGTTCAAGAGGGTCCAGTTGATGGGGATTATAGAGCCATTGTGCACTTCTCCGGAGGCCGTTTTCCTTCCAAGGCTGCTGGCACATCAACTCTACATATGGCTCCTGAGAGGGGAGCCTGCTGAGAGCCTCCTTTATAACTGGACAGAAATCAAAGAGTAGAAATTAACGGCTACAGGTGTTGCCATTGTTTTGGTATAAAATGAGTCAGAGAGGTGGGGAGAAGTCTCCACTTGGAAAATGTGTTGTTACATTTGCTGTGTACCAACAGGGTACGGGAGAGTGCTGGCGCCAAGGCGCACTAATATATGTATAGAAAGACACCCCCACCCCTTCCTCGGCAAGCACATCTTTCTAAACATTAGCCCTGTTACCCAGGGAGCAAAAAACTGAGAGGTCTTTAACAAGGCTCCTTAGAACGGTCACTTGCTTTTTCCTCTTTGCCTGGTCAACTGTGTACTGGGGCAGACATGTAATATCTTCTTTTTGTTATTATTGTTACATTTTTTTTAAAAAAAAGATGCGAGTAACACATATTGCCCCCTACAC